CACAGTGCTGGTAAAGCTTCGCGCCAAAATGATGGACGCGGGCTGTCAGTCGAGACTACGACCTGTTTGTTATCGTAGAACGGTAAAAAGAATATTAAGAATGTTTGGCGGGCTGTGAGTGCGTTGAGACTGTCTCGCGTTCCGTTGTGGACATTAAAACTAATTTAAGTAATTCTAATTATAGTGAAGGAAGTTGTTATAATTGTTTTGGATTGTAATTAGAAGATTTGTGAAAGCATTATCCTAGTGTTATTATTTGATCCGACACATCCCCATATACGCCCACGATAGTTACTTATAGCTAATTATGGAATATAGTTAATTATGTCGCAGAATATCTTCATCATCGTTACGAAGGTCGTTTGATTTAGTTTCTTTTTTTTTATTGCTAGTAATCGAGTAACATAATTACTCGATTGTAGAGGGCGTGATCATTGATATTTTTATCGATGACTTTGACAGTTCGTTAACAAAAAGCAAGTTGCCGCCATTTTGGCACACATTCTGTTTCCGATTGCCGAGGAGTAAAGACATCCGACGACATCCCGCTCATCTCGTTATATTTCCGTACGAAAAGTGATAAAATGGAATAAATCCACATTGGTATACACGTCTGCAGTGTTATTTTAAAGATAGTTCTCCGATATGGACGATCTATTTGGGCTACGTAAAAGCCCCTTCTGGCTACTCTCCGGCATATATATACAGATATTTACCCGTTTGAGCAGCTCGGTGGCGTAGTGGATAAGCGCCGCGGCCATCGATCATAGTCGCTAAGCAACTTTCGCAAGGGTCAGTCACGGGATGGGTGACCAAAAAATTATTATCTCGAGCTACTCCATGCTTCGGAAGGCACGTTAAGCCGTTGGTCCCGGCTGCATTTGCAGTCGTTAATACCCTCCAATCCGCATTGGACCAGCGTGGAGGGTCATGGTCCATCCTCCTTAACCATCCATAAGGAAGGCCTGAGCCCCTGCAGTGGTGACGTAAAAGGGTTGGTGATGATTTACCCGTTGGATGGTCGTTGCGTGGCGAGGTCTGGTGGGGCGGCGGCGGCGGCGGCGGCCTTGTTGCCGAGCACGATGCGGTACTGGACCACGTGGCAGTCCGGTCGCAGCTGTTTCAGATTTTTCTTCTGCAACAATACAAACAGTATAACCCAAGTTCGACACGTTAATTTACGACTGCCATAGGTATCAAAATGTTGCCATTTCTGTAGAACTACATTGTTGTGCTACCTACATTGTTCATTTGAGCTCACACTGCCTCCGATGCATAGATAATAAATAATCTTCACAAAACCACGGAAATTTTTCACCTTTGAGTTATATATATTATCTAAATATATACAGCGTGTTTGGTAATACCTGTATAATCCCGAAACATGGCCATACAACCTAGCACAAAGAACACAATTGATAGGTCAAAAAACAATTTCATGTAAATTGATATTTTCATACAAATATTTGAACAATTTGTTTTCAATTACTATGCTACAACCCTGTAAGCTTACACGTGCCGTCCCGGCGCACTCGCTCTTTCTCTCTCTCTCTCTCTCTCTCATTACCTCTCACTCTCTCGTTTCCTTGAATACATTTTGATGTTGCCGACGCGCGCACTCGACTACGTATGAGTTTACTTGTAATTAAAACAATTTAAGATTAAATAGGTACATACCTACAGCGTTCTAACCACTCTTTCAGCTTTCACTTGTCAACATTACCTACACTTCACCTCCACTTTATCAGTCCAGGGTCTCGATATGCCGGCCACCGCATAAAACACACATCTCCATTCGATTCGACACAGACCGTGTCGTGTTACTCTCGACGTAAAGTCATATCCTCTGTCTCGATGGAATAGGTGATCGGCCGGCCTACCTGTGGCACACTATGGAATGAACCAGTTGTATGTTACCAATTCACAAATGCCGCGAATCACCGGTAAGAAGGAAGACGTCGATGGTTTTCAGATCTTCCTGACACGTGGCGCTCGTCATAACGCCGCCGAGCCGCAGCAAGATTACCATCACAAGCCACACATTATCATCTCGTAATATTAGGCATTTGAGTACGAATTCATTGCACTGACCGCACACAAACATAATACACAGGTAAACAGAACGAGAATGAAAAACAAAAGTCCCGAAAGAACGAAAACGTAAGTTGACCTTCTAAATTCTGAAAACTCACAAGTACGCCGATGAAAGTCACGGACGCGACTGACGCGATGACCAAAACTACATAGGTTTATTATTATTGCAACTCGAACACCAATGTACCTAAATCAAAAGTGCACCGATTTTGGAGTTCCGCGTCATCAAATTCTGTGTTCATCAAACAAAAAATCGTTATTTTTTTATTGAATTAAACAATGTAATTTCAAAGTAACTTATCATACTATTTTTTACTGACGAAATTGATAATTAGGCTGTTTACTTATTATTACAATTTTATTTACGCTTTTCACGGTTACAAAAGAAAAAAAGGCCATAATATTAAAAGTGGTTACCTAATTTAAGACCAAGTCATTAACAAAATTATAAGGCATAAAAAAATTATTGATTAAATTAGAAAAGAAAAGAAATATTATTTATTATTAGACCTTTCCATTACAACTAACCTTTATTTAATTATCATTTAAACTAAGAATAAGCGAGATACTTAGATTATTAATATCATTGTATAAGTCCGTATTTTATTGTTTCGTGAAAATAACACGGCTTTATGAAAAAAATAACAAAACTTCAAAGCTATTAATCTACAGAACCTTACTGACACATCAGAAACCCGAGTTTCTCAATACACATCGTCGTCGATTTTATGTCTCTGTCGCTCCTTCTTGCATAGACTAATGTGAGCAATGGTGCAGATATTGAACTTCAATCAAAGTATTTGCAATTTCTTTTTTATTTTGACTGTATTATTACAGAAGTTTTCATATTAATAGTTTTTGAAACACCGTTAATCACAAGATTAGTGTTTTTTTATAGTTAAAAGTCATTTACTACTAACTTTTTCTTTGTTTGGAAATAATAAATTCCTCTCAGATGCATATTTATTCTAGGCATTTATCTTTAGATTTATTTAACTTCTGTTATTTTTTAAACTAGTTCGGCACATGGAGTCAATGACCAAATACAACACAACAGCTGTTTTTAGGGTTGTCAGCGTACAGTTTTACTTCGAAGAAAAAAAGCTGAATATCTAGGTCATGTGCTGGGTTTCAGTCTTAGTGATCATTTTTCTGGGTTCTATTCATCATACCGTATGTGCCATATTCGGGATTATACAGGTATTACCAAACACGCTGTATAACTCAAAGGTGACCGACTGACATAGTGATCTATCAACGCACAGCCCAAACCACTGGACGGGTCGGGCTGAAATTTGGCATGCAGGTAGATGTTATAACGTAGGCATTCGCTAAGAAAGGATTTTGATCAGTTCTATCCGTACGGGGATAAAATAAGGGATGAAAGTTTGTATGAAACTTAGTCAATTTTAGGCCAATCGAGCTGAGACTTTGCATGCATAAAGCTACTATGACGTAGGCATCCCCTAAGAAAGGATTTTGATAAATTCTACCCCCAAGAGGATAAAATAAGGGATGAAAGTTTGTATGAAATTTTGTCAATTTTAAACCGATCGGGCTGAGATTTTGCATGCTTAAAGCTACTATGACGTCGGCATCATCTAAGAAAGGATTTTGATAAATTCCATCCCTAAGGGGATGAAACTTTATGTCAGGCATTTTACACGAAATAATGAATAAATATTCGTTAGATATGCTACTCAAAGTAACTTTACCACGCGGACGAAGTCGCAGGCAAAAGCTAGTGGGAAATAAATTAAAATGAGGAATCCATTGGACAATTAAGATTTAATACTAAAATGTTCTATAGATACCTGACAACTAGCCCACTGCGTGATCTGGTACACGGCGCCGTCCATACACGCGTAGTACATCACAAGTAGACCCATCATACTCGACTCCGCCCAAATGTCACCCTGCACATAAGTTAACGATCAAATTGGGTAGTTCCGTTTCTGGCAGTGAAAAATATGTCACGAAATTGCACAAAAACTAAAATTTACATTGTAATGCACATAGAGATTTTGATTTTGAGTCATAAAATAGCATAATTATCTTTTTTAATTAAAGTCGAGCTCTTTGTACAAGTGTCACGTGGAAACACGACCCGCCATTGTGTGATGTCACTCTGGCGACAGCTGTCAGATTAGTTGTAAACAACGCTTATTTATTATATATATCAAATTCCTAAATGACGCTGTTTATACTTATTTATATCTTTATATTTCGTAATCGACCGTTAGATGGCGCTGTTCTTGTATTATTGACATTTTATAATTTACTACTCTGTGAATGTAATTCGATACATACGTGACGTGCATGACGTCATTCGGTCATAAACATGTCGGACAGCGTTTTCGTGGGTATAAATTAGTTAAAATATTGATATAATTTTCAAAATGCGTTTATTTTTCCGAAATATTTGTTTTATGGCTTATTTAAATTAAAATAAACATAAACAATTACAAGATCAGTTTTAAACAGAGTAGAATACCCTATTACTGAATACACTATATCAAAATCAGAGTATATAAAAATACAGAATAATATTAACGTCAATTAATACTACAAAAAGCAGTCTTTAAGCTAAAGAACATTCCTTAGACTGAATAGCGCAGCACATTTTTATATATGTCTTATTTATAACAAAAATAATAATGCCCGTTTTTACTACACTTAGGAGTTATCTAAATATTTAGGTATCACTTAAGGTTAAAATGCATTTAACCAATGACGAGAAACATTATATAATGTTTAAAGTTATATGACACAATACATATAAGTTAATATGTCAAGGGAAAAAATAAAAAATGTTTGTTTGGAATTAAAATAATATAAAGCGATTCGTAAGATTAGGCGTTTTAGGGATTTGATAGTTAAGCAATGCCTTGTTCGAAATATTTAAAAATTAAGTTTGTCTGCATCTATTCTAGAGCTACAGACTTTTTATATTCGATTAATCGACCGTTAAAATTAAGTGACTTCTCTGAGTATAAATCTTAAAAAATATTTTTTACAAATTATTATTGATTTATAAATAACAACTTTAGTAAAATTTTTTTTTAAATAAATTATTAATAGATATTATTGCCAAATCGCGAACCACGGGCGGCCATAACGGAACATCTTATGACGTCACATTTCAATAAACTAACGTCAACGTCTTTGTTGCGAATGCAATCAGAATTCATGCTTATTAAAAACACGTCGCTCGATAAGTCAAGTGAAATTAGTGAAAATATTTTTTTTTACAAAATATTTAAGTGTCATTTTATTTTTTAATTAAACATTAGGCGTCCCCTAGTAATAATGGTTACCTCTTTGGCGGAATGTCTGATCTTGCACTGGGCGCAGTACCGCGCCGCGTAACACGGCCGGTCCGTCAGCACGCGCTTGTGGCGGCGACCGCAATTTGTGCATCTGACAATTAATAATAATAACATAATAGAAATATATTTTGGACAAGTGCACACGAGGGGCCGTCCATAAATTACGTCACACAAAATTCATGATTTTTAACACCCCCCCCCCTTGTTTGTTTGTCCGTCAGGTAGAGTGTTAAAAAATATTAAACAAGTATTTTTTAATTTTTTTGGTAATCATAAAATAACGGCGTTACATTGAGTTGAAATTTCGCATGACGTCACGTTAGAGTACGTTTTCTACTCAACTGCTACGTAGCAAGCCCCCACCCCTCAACTTTAATGCCTGTTATCTAAGCTATTTCTAGTTAAATTGAAGTAAAAAAAAATATATATACGTATCTAATATTTTTCTATTATCTGACTGACGGACTAAATAGAATTGCATTTTTTTTACCCAGTCATCATCCCTATTCTACTAAATATTGTTCGAATGTCACAGTTCGTCGACCTCTCCCCCTCCTAACGTGTGACGTAATTTATGGATGGCCCCCGACGACACGTCATAACCTGACTTATTGTTGACTCTATATATGTCGTACAAACATAAAATAGACAGTAACAGAAAAAGAATTGTTCCAGCGGAACCAGCGGTGACCGGCTAACATCTAGCCATAGGATACGACATTTTAGCGACAATTCGTTTCATTTTACAATTTTGACATGTCTTTTATTGGTCTTGCGATGGATAAACGACTAATAGATACTATAATATTCATTATTTATTATTCGTTCGTCGTAAGTAGTAAAATAAAACAAGTTAGCGCTATAACATCGATAAGATGTCATATGGCTAAGAGTTATAGCTAGAAAAGTTAGGCAGCCGCTCTGCAGCCCGCAGAGTGATCACCTAACTCTTTAGCCTTGTTTCTAGCCACAGGATACTACATCTTAGCGATGTTATGACTATATTTTGTTTTATCTTAATTATTTTCACATTTATTTTAGTAATGTACTTGCATCGAAATGTTGATATTAATGTGGACCTTCCCGGGATTTCTTTATTTCTTCTTTTTTATTTCTTTCTTTCATTGGTGTAAGTTTGGCAACGTCGTGCGTACAGTAGTTTAAATTGTGTACTTTAACACTTTTAATAACTTTTTATTTAAAAAATCACGGGATTTTTTCTGCTCTATAAAATTAATCTCGGGATTTGAGGCATATCCACTTTATTCTTTCGCTGTATGAAATCAGTGTAAGTACATGAATAACTCTACCTAAATCCGACCACTGGTAATGACGAACGAACGATAACGAATGATGATTATGGATTTCACCAAACGACATGTTAAAGTAGTAACACGACACGAAATATAATCAAAATATAGCTATGATATCGTATCCAATGGCTAGAATCAAGGCAGTCTCACATTTAACATTTATCTTTTTAGTTTAATATATGGGTAATTTTATCTCTCGTATCGGTCCATTTGGAACCACGAGAGCGAATGTATATATACATATAACATAAATACCTGATAGTATTGGCGGCAAACTCCATTTTGTCGTGCAACTGTGCCAATAATGTGGAGAGCTCGCTCCACGCCGCCTCCGCGTGTCGTGACTCCATCGCGCGACGAGAATATGCTTCTCTACGTTCCTACATCACGAACATTATACGATTACATTATGAATGAATGAACGAAACATCCATTCATTCATATATGAATGAATGTTTAGTTCATTCATTCATTCATACGTTAAATATATCTAATTCTATACTAATATTATAGAGAGTAAAGATTTCATTGTTTGTTTGCATCGAATGGCTTACGAAACTACTGGACCGATTTTAATTTTTTTTTCACCTACGGGTAACTGCGTACAGCTAGTATGTAGTGTGAAACGAAAGCTGAGCAGTACGCTGAGATCTTTTAAAGAACGATACATCAATATACCTACATAGTGATTAAAGATAAAGGTTTTTATCTTTATTACATAAGTATATAAAAATGAATCGCTGAAATATATGTACGTGTGTTACTTCCGACCGGCAGCAAAATGTTTATTTTTTATATGTTAATTATTGTGAGGACTAGCTTAATAAATAACAAAATTTATAAAAATAATACAAAAAGTTATTGACGGTATGTGACAGAATATTTTGATAGATCTTTGACAATTTAACCTGAAGGGTTATATTTAATCAATCGCCCGCCTTGGAAACATAAAAAGAGGCGGCATGAAGTTCAACGGGTCAGCTATTACATAATACAGGACCACGCATACGAAGCCACTGGCGGAAAGCTAGTACACAAGAAATAACTGATATAAACGACTTTCTTACTGGTTCCCCGATGAGATCGAACGCATGCTGGAGTATTTTGAACGCTTCTTCGGCACCTGGTTGTTGATTTTTGTCCGGGTGAACTAAGAACGCTTGCCTCCGATAGTACCGTTTGATCTCCTCGTCTGTGCAGGTCACACTCACGCCCAGAATACTGCCAATCAGATCGAGTTATTTTTTTAATTGTTGTTAAAGTTATATGATCTTTTTCATAACAAATATGATTGCTCTGTTATGATTAATAGAATATGTTATCAGGTGCCGGTTCGACCACGCAAACGAGCATGCCGCAAACTTAAATTATTTTCTACTAAAAAATGCCGCAACAACTCTGGTAAACGCTCGCCCTTGATTCGTCTTGCCGACACGTATAATAAATATTTTGTAAATATTTATATACATCATACATATATCACCAGCCCTTTTACGTCCCCACTGCAGGGGCTCAGGCCTTCCTTATGGATGGTTAAGGAGTTAAGGAAATATTTATATATTCAATCATAATGTACCATCTTATAAGAAATCTATCATGGAGGTATTGGTAGCCTGAAATTAACACCGCGTCACACTCGTATATAGTTTGGAAACTCATTCCACAAACTAAATAATTTTTGACTTTATTGTTGCTCTCAACTACAATGTGAAAGGTACTTAGCTACTTGTGGTCAACGGTGTTAGTTTCACAATCACAAGATGTAAGTTATTAATTTGTTGCTGGTTCAAGTAATTTAATTATGAAACTGTTTGTTAGTCCAATAAAGTAAAAAAAAAAAAGGTAGAAGCATCAAGTTTTAGACTAACACTGCTCTAACGCAATCATACGGTCGATGTAGATACGTCGCATAATTAACAGTCGCAGAACGACAGAACTGACAAATATATGAAACGAAATTCGATCTTGCACACTGGACGGAAGACCTATCTTGAATTACCGTAAACACCTACCCCAATTTGGATTTCTCCCATTTGTGACTACTATTCCGATCAAAATAATAATTTATTTTGTGTATTTTAAACATTATTACAAATACCTTTTGAAATAATAGGATACACACGATAATTATATTATAATTAGTACAAATTAATTAGCCCTAGCTACGCCCCTGTTGTCTTAGATCATGGATGATGTCATAAGATTTGATTCCAAAGAATAATTTATTTCAGTTAAAAACATTGACTTGGAATTATCTTTTATAATATTATATGTACCTGTATGGATCTTTTCCTTTACAAGCTAGCAGGCGCTTCATCGCTTCCTCACCAGTGGCCGGCAGTGGTATGTTAGCGTTGAGGTTTGTAGAGTCATTCCCAGTGTCAATTTCAGCTTCTGTTTTAACAAAGATACGGGTTAAACAAAAAGCAAATTTCATGTCTTTATAAATGATGTTACTTCCATGAGAACTGGTGTTTCAATCACTCGTTCTTCAGGTCAGCCAAAAAAGGTCATGAACAGGTGGCAGGCCAATGGATGTTAGATGATTTAAGTATTTTACTGTCAGTTGCACAAACGTCCATTTAGATTTAATGATGATTTTAAGCTCTAATAAATGTCAAATTTGTATCGGTAATGTCGCTTAAAACCAGCCCTTCTCGAAGTGGGCAATAACGTCCCCTTGTGGGCGCTGCAAGCCTTAAGGAGGGAGGCAAGATAACCAAAAGATATTGATGGAGAAGCTCAGTAATTAATGCGCACATATTGCCGGGAACAGTTTATCTGCGGCCTGAAACTTAATTGAGCAGCTAAATTTCCAGAAAAATACCAAGCCGTGTTGAAGTTACGGACGGAGAGGCTTTCTGTGGGACCCTGCAGAATATGAGACCTGGGTAAACGAGTCTGCTGCCAGCGGTAAACCGCAGTTACTTGAGCAATCAACCAAATAACTATTAAATCTTTCGAACTCTCTCAGCCCAAACTGAAGAATACTAGGGGTTAGCACTGGACACTTGGCGTCTCGTAGAAAAGCATCGCCAAGAAAAATCATGTGGAGCCACTAAATCTGCTTGGTTTTGAAATTCAAACCGTTTGTAGAGAGGGAGCGTTAATGGAGCTTCAATCTACATGCACAGAACTGGAAAAGCACGCTGAGAAATTTGAGATTGGTAACCTCCATAATGTATCTAACGTTATTTGTGCTTGGCATGGTTGGATATAACAAGAGAGTTGAGTTTGGCTACGTACATGTTTAAAATAACGTGTGGTCCAGTTTTCAACCATATAGTGTTAGAGTCGGTAGGGTTGTGCGTTCCAAATCGATGTGTGTGGCGGCGTCGACAGCCGCCTCTGTTCGCATTACCATATGCACGCACAAACATATTAAGAGAGGCACCTATACAACGAATGTTACGTTGTCTAAACGGGGCTGCAAATTCTATAAATTTATTTTGTTGGTCATTGAACGAATTCGTAATGGCAGTATTATATGTCTTATGTTATAAGTGTTAATTTATGTCTAAGCTATCGCATTAGGGAAACCTGTAATAATAGTAGTATGTTGCAAATAAATAAATAAAAATAAGTCAAAAGACCTGGGCAATAGAGAACTCTACTGGTAATACTGTCAAAGAAATTAATCGGATCGTTAAGGTGTACTTTAAGTCCTTGTTATGGAATAAGCAAAAACCATTGGATCTTGGATCTGATAATTCATCACCAACAGAAAAGGAACCTTCCTTATCGAGGTCAGAAGTAGAGGCTACTATTGAACATCTAGTGTGGCAAGGCCAATGCAGGTGCCGATGAAATTTTCATAAATATTTAATTTAATAGATAGGAGATTTTGGTGTCATATGTCACATATTAAATTCAATCTGTTTGCGAATATGGAATATGGGAGAGTGGCTGAACGACTGCTTGAAGAATTCGTCAGTCTTGTTAGGTCTTGGTTAGCTCAGCAATTAGAGTAATTAGAGTCGATTGTGCAAATGCGAATTCTTAAAAGATTTGAATATATTACTCGTAACGGAGAGCTCGTTAGAACGTTTGATGATACAAGGAAGAGTGGAGGGCCAGCATTCTTCAAAACATCAATGAATTGTTCCCTTATAGAGTGTAAGCATAGTGCTACAAAAGAGATAGTTGGAGATGTCTCACAAAAGCCGCAACAAATTAATCAGACAATATATAACCACGACCACTCCACTAGAAGTGTAAGAGAAGAAAAAGAAGAGAAATTGAAAAGGGGGAGATTCTGTGTTCGACAAGCATCATCGTCACCAATAGCGGTACGACGCTCACTGCTAAGCATAGGTCTGGCGGAGGGGACTATCCACTGAATGACATTCTAAAACCTTTGCATCACCCATGGTGTGTCCCGTCCAGTGCCACTTTAGCCCACTGCGATTCTGTAAAAATCCTAAGTTCAGGATAAATTGCGGTCAGTGCAAAGAATTCAATATTCTTTAGTTATGATGAATCATTCATGGCTTTTTCTCCATTTATTTTTATCTTTTAAAATTGAACAATAATGTAAAAAATATATGCCTGAACATAGATGTCAATGACCATCGATTTATCTATCAAAGATATGAATTTTATATACTACCCACTATGTAATATTTACCTTTTTTAAACCATTTCAGTTTTCTCCAAAATGCAAATCTGGTGTGTCCAAATTTTCTGTCAATATACACAAGGTATTTGTTGTCTTTCAGTTTGAAAATCCAGTCCTTGGTACTGCGCCATACAGCTTGGGAGCTCACATATGTTTGAGTAAAAACAGATGTGCAACTGTAAATATAAAATGTTATACAAAATGTATTTTAGCATATCTATGTTTAACAAAACTGATAAATTTCATCAAATTATTTTAAAGCTAAAAGACTTCAAATGAATTGCAAAATGTGGTATTTAAACTGAAATGACATATGTAACTCTAAATTCTACAGGATGAAACATATCTTTAAGTTAATCATGGTAAATTTTAACAAAGCCTTTTAACCATCTTATATTGATTGATCAATTTGTAACAATTTATCTGAAATATATGACGAAAGTCATTATTCAACTTAAAAGTATCAGCTATGTAAATATTGTCATATTGAAATAAGGCACAAATATATTACCTACAAGTAATAAATTTTTGTATAAACCATGATAAGTTTATCAAAGGAAGCTATTATTATGCAACATAGTAATAAAGTCACATCACATCAAATAATGCTGACATTGATCCAATAGATATTTCTGTGAACATTAGCTACATATACTCATTAGTAGTTCAAAGATAAAAATTATGTCTGTTTCTTATCATAATATACTAAGAGAATTTACTGGGACTGGTTTTTTAAGTTGCTTGCTATTTAGCAACACTAAAATTGAATTAGTAGTACACACCACAAATGATTGAAATTGATTTGGTACCACAATAGAATGAAAATGAATTATTTATATTTGTGAGGTTAATGTGGTTGTTTTAATTCTTTGATAGCATATCAATAAACTTAAATGTCAAAACCAATTAAAATTATCTATATATTTAATTAAAAATACATCATGTTATAAATTGATAAAAGATTTTAGGTAGTGTCAACATTTACAGTAGATTTTTTTTGGTATCACAAAATGTTAATTTCTGCATACTCAAATAAGTCACAAAAATGAAATGTGCTCATACAATAACTTACAGATCAAATGATAAATGGAGGCTCATTCCACATATGTCGGATAAAAGGTACGCGAACCAGACAAGTGCTTTCCATGTTGCACCACCCCAGTTCTCCAAGTAATTTTGAGCCATGCCCAAATAGCCTGGTTTATTTCGTCGCATTTTTGTCTGGTTCACTTTCTTCTTATCCTGAGCTGGTTTCGCTGCTTTATGATAGTTACGACTGTCCTTCTTCTTTTTGGCTTTAGCAGTATCAGCCTGGTTCTCTTGAAAAATAAAATGGGACTGTTCGTTTTCTTCCAATTTGAAGTCATTGTCAGTCACATTTTTGTCAGTTTTGGATTTCTTATCGCACTTTTTATCCTTTTTAGATAACTTCTCCTGACTCTCTATGAAGATAAACTGACTCTCGTTATTGTGTTCATAACTAGCATCTTCCTCATTTGTTATGTCGTCCAGAGATGACCATTTTCTTGTGATGTTACTGCGCTTGTTTTTAGACTTTTTCGGTTTCTGAGGTTTGTCAGCATCATCTGTGTTCATGTCACCTGATTCACTACCAGAGGAAATTGTAGAATGTTGTTTCTTCTCATGTTTTATCTTATTTTCATCTCCATGCTTAATATTTGTCAAAGGCTTATCATGTTTTGAGTTATTTTTAGCATTTGATGACTTATTTTCAACATTTTGGGGTTTTGTTTTTCGTGTAGCTTCAGCTTGAGTACTTGTTTTTGTATTCTTAACCAAAACATCTGAATAAGATGGTCGCATCGGTTTCACTTCGGCAACTATTCGCTTTTTAGTGTTATTGTCAGCTAAAGGACCAGTTTCATTCCTTTTTGGAGAATTATCAATTTTTGATGTTGGAGTTTTATTGTCCATTAATGGATTTGTTGGTAAATTAAGATTTGGAGCATCAGGATGATTTAATGGGTGGTTTTGACCAAAGGGTGAGTAAGTTCCAGTTGAGTTTGGTTCCCAATTGTCTCTCAAAACTTTGAGAAACTCAGCAGGCAATGTATTTGATGTTTGATTTTTATCATGAGCAAAACTGTTTTGTATTGGAACTGAGGTTGGCATGTGATTGTTTTTATTGGCTGCATAATCTTGATTCATAGGGAACATATTATTATGAGTATCTCGAGGAGTTTGTAAGGGTAAATCTAGTGGTCCTTGGTTATGACTAAACAGTTCATACTGACTAGACATGGGAAGTATGAATTGTTGATTGTTTTCATCATAAAACACCCTCATAGACTGACCATTACTCAAATGAAGTAACATACCAGCATTGCCGTAGTTTTGGCGGTTAACAGGAGGTACGAAGGACATTTTTTCGTCATTGTTAGGCACCGTTTCTCGTGGCTGCACGTTGAATGGTACTTTGTTCACAAATAAATCGTTTCCGAAGTTTGCGTTAGCGTACATGTTGTTCTCATTTAGAGGAACACCGTTTGTTGTAAGGGGTGCTTGATTTCTATCATTTATGACGCCAGGTGGGCATTGCTTTGCAGCTTCTGTAGCAAAGTTCCAAGTGTTGTCATTGTATCTCGGATCATCCTGTGGCGACCTTGCCATTTTTGGTTAGTTTTGTCTCGACACAATCTACATCAACTTTACAGATTTAGAATTACAGTTTATTACTCAGACATTTGGCATTTTTTTACGGTTACAGTATGTAACAAGAGTAAACCTCAAAGAACGCGAATTCTAATAAATTTATTGACAATTTATTTGACGCTAAAATTGATAAGTACGTAGCGGTACAATTTGTTTGACACTGTCACAGAACAGTACAATTTTACCACACTACAGTGAATATCTATGGTTACGATAAACAAAGAGTATTTATGATACATCATAAGGTTAGGGTAGGATACTTTTGTTTCAGTACTTTTGAAATATATACCTATATTATTATTCTTATGTAATAAAAAAATATACTTTTTCAATATATGTCTAGAAGATTAATCAGACTAGAGACACATCTCTGGTCTGTGTTTCACGACAAACGTAACACCAATCATATAACGTGACGTCATTTAAAAAATGCGGGAATATTGAAATTGTAAAATATGTTTAATAATATAAAATTTTTATATAATTTAAACTTGGGTTGTTGTATGAGATTGCTTCTCTAGTTATTAAACTTATTGATTTAACGGTTCATTTTGTGTTTTCTTTATTTGTGTATTTGAATAAAGATGTCTCTAGTCTGATAAATCTTCTAGACATATATTGAAAAAGTGTATTTTTTATATAATTAAATAATAATATAAGTATAATGACATTTTAAGAGCACTGAAACAAATTGATGAAACAAGCTGAAAGTTTGTTGTAAGTATTATATTTAATCAATTTTGCATTGCAAATTCAGTATACCATTAATGTATTTAGGTGTTTTCTGATTAAAAGCATATTTGTTTTATTATAAATAGGATCACCTCAGTACGTCAAGCTGTCGAATAAAAAAAGCGTTATGGAAATTGGTCAGCAATTCGCAGAAAAATCGGTGAACATATATAAAACAGTCTGGTAAAAAATACTTCTCCGTTGAACATATAACCTCCTTTTCAATTTTTATGTTGGCTAAAAACCTAACATTATTCATAGGATTTCTTAAACTTATATTGTAAATAAAATTTTCCATAAAAAGTTTACACCCGGTTTCTGAATAGAGAATTTAAAGTTAAGAAAGTCTCAAACTGTACTTAAGTACATTTTAAACGTCGCTTAAACAAATTATGATTTTAGTTTGTTTTACTCAATGATATTAATATGTCTAGATACGCAATACATACCAAAAATCTGAAGCTACTAAAACTAAGACGTTTGTCTTAGTTTTTTCGTTTTTCACTTCATTACTCATTCAAATCCCGCCAAGAAAGTACAAAAAAATTCTCCGTAAAAACAAAGAAAAACAGTGGATAAAATATGATTCTTTCACAAATACACATAATACGAAAGAATATTAAGTTTCACACTTAAGTCATTAACATTTTTGACAATAAATACAAAATTAAAGCTAGGTTATAAAATAAAAATATTTAATTTTCACAAATAAAAGAACAATGGCCAAAATGGACTACGAAAAAAAAGTTCTTGTACCAAGATGGAACTATTACCAAAATGTAGTATAAGTTGAATGTAATTATTATATACCAACAATTTATTTTTAAAAGCTGGGAAAAGAAAGATATTACTCTCTAAAATATGTCTTTATTTTTTAGAACGCAGTTTAAATTATGTTATTTTTGAACGCATCTTAATAATAATGTCATTCCTAGAGAAGTCCCTCTCTTTTCAAATAACAAGATCGATTTTATTTCCGACTAATCTAATTTGATACAAATCTTATATTATTTACTAACCATATAAATCCATGAAAATTATAAAAATTAGATTAGATAACTAATATAATTAGATGTTACCTAGAGGAAAATAGTTTATTTATAATGAAATTAAAAACTAATGATTATTCATAAGAATCGATATTACATTATTCAATAATCGATTGCGACCTTCCATTTTTAGACAAGTATGTGTAGACGTGTTTCTACGCAGACCGTTTTGTAACTTTGGCGGCGATTTTGTATTATCTTCTGTATTATGGGGAGCATACTAGGTTCTATGGGCAGTATAGAATGGAGGTCTGTAGAGAAATACCGAATTCTCTGGATTTATTAGAATTAGACATAAATATAAATAAAGTCCCAATTATAAGGGGCCGAATTAAGTCGAGACATTGGGAGGAAACATAATTATGTGTACATTTTAATAAATAATTTACATCCGGGTTAGATGGCATAAGAGAACACTGCTGTAATTGTTTTATTGGTCGATGTACACTGGGATGCTGTGCTCATATAATGACCATAGTTTGGTATCTTGGATGGGCCAGACATGAACAGAATGTAGCTGCTCCTGCAGCATTCCGTGATGAGGTATTCAATAGAGTTGTAACAAAGAAAAGAAAAATCAACATGTTGTTTTGCTATATCCTTTTGACATTAGTATTTTCACTTCTACTTTATATACAGTGTAAGATGGAAAAGTAGAGTTATTGAGAACACTCTTAAAAATTCTATTATTTTTTTGATGTTCATTGGTTCACAAAAAATGATTTTATTTCTTACAGTCAATAAAAATAATATATTAGATATGGAGCAAGTTTGAAGTATTATGTGAAAGTATGCATTTCTAGGACCACGATTAGGCATTATATGACGTGTGCTTTACATATTTCAACTGTAATACCTCTAACTTAAAATGCTACAGATTAAATAATACGACATAACCTCAAAAACATATTACACAATTACTCGATACTCCCAGCTTTTAAAAATATATTTAATGTCTTTCTTTGTTCTAGTTGTATAGACAAACAAAATAATATATGTTTCATCAAGTTACGTTTTATTCGATTTTACTAGTCCAAGCATGTTAGGCAGATGGCCATTGTTCTTTCGACATTTTGTCGACAGTGTTGCCACTGCTATTCACTTTCAATTTTCCCAAGTGTATGGGAGCCTTTTCTTTTTATTTTACGTGGCTATAATTTATCTAAATATCAATTTTATAGTTCAGCTTAAGTATAGGCAACTGCGCTAATTGTGTTGATATTTTTTTTACACACGCACACAGATGCTAATGTGGTTTAATTTTTTCAATGAGTGGAATTCGTTACTTGTCGAGATACAACTTTTGAAAATACGTAAAATTGAACCTTTGTTTGATTTTTTGTTAACTTTAACAAATATTTTTCTCTTAAACACTGACTTTATCGAAAAACAAAGGGATTTATATGCACAGAGCCTACTTTCGTGATTGTTTTTTTTTTCAAAGATTTTTCAAATAAATTTTCAAAGATATAGTATTTTTCTAATTGATTTTAAACATATATCTACATTATTTGTTCATTCATTCATTCATCATAATGGGTGAATTTTCGAGAGCTGGCAATATAATATCAATTACCCATTTTTCCGTTTATTCTGTCATTCGCACATATTCTGTCTTTGTTTAATTTAAGGTTTAATCGTAGATATGAGAGAGACAAATATAATAAACCTATTTATATTATATTGTATAAATATTATTTGCAAAGCTACGTCCTGATTTCGGAAAAGTGCTACGCTTTTTGGCGCGTCTGTTGTATGAAATTGCTTCTCTAGTTATTAAACTCATTGGTTTTACTAGGACTTTTTGACTTTTGAAACGTAAAAAAAAACTTTGAGATTTCGTAGTTTTCTCAATTTAGAAACCAGCTATTTATCTTTTAGTTCTATACCATGTCGTGTAGCTAAGAAAATAAAAATACTCGAACCGAATATATTCGGCACCAAAACCGAATAATTCAAATAGTGAAAATGATGCTGAATACCAAACGAATATTCAGCGCATCTGTAATGATAATTATATCTTTTTTCTTAAAATCTATTTTGTCACCCCACGCTTCACGCTATCTGAGTTGCCTTTTACATATTATTTTTAAATAATATAAACTTTACCATAGTATGGAGTACCGAGTAATATCATTGGTTTTGGGTACAATATCATGAAATAATGTTTTTATTATTACAAGCTTTTATTTAATTTTATCCTGTGGTTTCACCTGTCCAATGTTTGTCTTTCTGTAATAAAATCTTGAAAAGTAAATTTTACCCACTTCCCAGTGTCCGTTTGAGCTGAAATTTGAAATATACCTTTAGTTCTGAATGAATGAATGAATGAACACTTTATTGTACTTGAAAATAAAATCAACATAACAATTTAATAACAATAAACAGTACAATTGGCGGCCTTATCGCTAAAAAGCAATATCTTCCAGGCAACCAAAACAATGCAATTAAATATACGTTATTGGTTTTTTTATTAATCTATAATGGCCGTCGTAACAAAATGGCGGCGTATATATATATATATATATATATATATATATATATTTCTGAACGACCGAACATAAATATATAGGTATTGGTGTCAGGCGAAAGGGCTAACTTGATGAAACAATACACCAAACAAAAGCCTGTTTAATAAAAAGCTATGTAATCTTAAAGTTATCTGATCCACCTTTATCTATAAAAATATTTTTTTTCTATAAGCGATCCCCTATTTTATTATTATTGGCCATAGAATTCTTTAAGATTTTTATATACAAGGAAAATTATTTATTACAATTACCTACTTAATTAATTTTGATTATTACTATAGCTCATTTTGCTTGACTGTTTGCTCATTATGTTACAAGTTATTTGTATTTTATAGTAAATACTTACATATATCCTGATTCAACCAATTTATTATGAATGTACCTAAACTGTTGATTGTTGCACAGTAGCTATTAAGTTAATTTGTGGAGTGGGTACTCGCTAAAAAAGGATTTTTGTAAAGTTCACCCCTAAAAGGGTCTCTTTCAGAATTTTAAAAGGTTTAGCCAAAACGTGAATTTATAAAATTCTCAAATTTTCGATTTTTTGTTGTAATTATAACTTTTTTTTTACAGGAAACATTTATGATTTTGCGAATGACAGACATTTTAACAAGTTCCTGTAAAGGATTGCCGATCTTGCTCCACTTTTTTGAAAAGGGCATCCATTTTAACCGTAACAGGACGACCGGAGCAACGTGCTTATTTCCCAAGTAGCACAAAAAGCTGAATAAAGGGTGAATAATGGCATTTTCAGATGCTTTAAGCAGCATAAACTTGCCATAAAAAAGAATTTTAAGCGCTTAAAATTCCATTACAATGCTGATTTGGGCACAAATCTTAGTGCCTTAGGCTTACGCGGGTGCCAAAAGGCATTAAAATAGCATTGTAATGGAATCAATAAGGTACACAGTGACGATTATAGCCGTATAGTAGTACTAAAAAGGCACCGTAATGGAATTTTAGCATTCTTTAGCCCCTAAAAAAGTCCAACTTCTACCCATTACAATTCTTAAAGCGCAATAGTGTCGTATATGCGGTGTATTTTATAAAGTTCGTATTTTTTTTTACATTCAAAACATTTGTGTGATGTGCAGCAGCAGTGACTGTGATAAAACAGAGGTGCGACGCCATTAACTATAAGTATTATTAAATTTGTTAATATTGTATTGGGTGTTAGATGGTTAATACGTGAAATAGTCTTGCGGAGGCAAGTTTACTGTTAATGTCCATATACATTTCTATTGAATTTTTTTATGCGCATCGAATATGATGAGTATTTAGTTAAATATTATATAGAAAAAAGTGCCTATGAAAAATTAAATATTTATGTGTTTGGTTGTTATGTCCACAGTTTTATATTTAGGAGACTTATATATATTTTAGAATTGTAAATTGAGCAATAAGTAATAGCTTACATCTATAGTTTACTTATAATATTTACATGAAATATCGTGTTAGGTTAGGTTTGAACGATTTAATGGCGGAGTATTTAAGCAGAATTGTAGTACGTTATAGTTCCACTACAATTCTTTTGGCTATGA